GACATATGGAGTTCAACCAGTCTGAGCACTGCTGTAGAACAGGATAAGGAACCACCTGGACTGAAAATTACCTCCCTCTTCCACAGATGTTTGGCATTTGGCATTAGACATTTACATTACTTAATTTTTACTTCAAGTACATTTTATTCTAGAAGAAAGATTTTTGGCTCATCAGGTCCTGCAGTTGTCCAACAAGCAACAGTCAGATTTAGTCAAATCCACAACTACGGCACAGAGAGCTCAGACATATATACAAAAAGACTGCTCTCTGTGTGTGTGTGTGTGTATAACAGCAACCATTTCAGCTTACATCTTCATTTAGTGGAGATAGGGAATTGTACATAATAGCAGACAATTTATGTCTTGAACTTACCCATTCAACCTAAACATGATGTCTTCAGCACTTAACCTAGTGAGATTCTGGTCAGACTGGGCCTTCTAGGCCTTCAAGCACTTCAGGACAATGTATGAACCAGCACAAAGGCAAAATAAGTTACAGTCTACAGTCTGGGGGTTAAATAAAGCTGTAACTGTTAGGCATTATGATGAGACTTCTGTGAAGACAGATTATACCACAAATACTTATTGGTACATTCTTCAGTTAAGGTACTCTATCCATGTGGTTTTCAAAGGCTCAAGAACATATAATCCTTAGATCTGAACCATACTGATAACTTATCTTGCCATAAGTAACATATATACCACTAAGGGCATTCTGCCGAGCTCTAAGTAATTTTGGGTTTCTTCTAAAGCATTCAAAACCTAGACCTAGATTCAATACCTCAATTCTACATCTACATTCAACACTTTTATTGTAAACTAATTTTGGTATCAATTCTTCAGAAGTATATAGAATGTATGTTTAATGGATGACCAACTCACTGGACTAAGTAAAGTAATAGGGCTTTTACTTCAGAGAATCACAGATCTCATGCATTATCAGACTTGTCTACTTTGCAGTGAGGCAGTGAACACCATCTAATTTTCAGCATACGTGTATATATAGTTGACAAATTATAACTGCTACCCTTTTGAGTAGTTTTACCAAACACTAAAAAAGACTGAAGTGTAAAGGAAATTGAAATGCCTACACTGTATAGTCCAACTGTAACGCCAGCCATGGCAAGCACAGTGAAAAGTCATGAAACTTCACACTGATGTAACACACACAGAGGAATAAATCTATTTAGAAGTTCTGTGACTGATTCTTAGTATCTAGTCAACACAGTAAAAAGGAGAAGGCTTACCACTACAAGCATAGGTGAGTGTAGTGATGTGTGCTCTTCCAAAACCAACTTCCTATCTACCACCCATCTTATCACAGAATCATAGAATGGTTTGGGTTGTAAAGGACCTTAAACATCGGGTAGTCCCAACCCCCCTGCCATGGGCAGGGATACCTTCCACTAGAACAGGTTGCTCAAAGCCCCACCCAACCTGGCCTTGAACAATGTCAGGGATGAGGCATCCACAACTTCTCTGGGCAACCTGTTCCACTGCATCACCACCCTCACAGTAAATAACTTCTTCCTAATATCTAATCTAAATTTGCCATCTGTCAGCTTAAAGCCAATTCCCCTTGTCCTGTCACTACATGCTCTTGTAAAAAGTCCCTCTCCCTATTTTTTAGGTCCCCTTTAGATACTGGAAGCCTGCTATAAGGTCTCCACGCAGCCTTCTCTTCTGCAGGCTAACAACCCCATCTCCCTAAGCCTGTCTTCATAGGAGAGGTGCTCCAGCCCTCTGAGCATCTTTGTGGCCATCCTGTGGACTTGTTCCAACAGTTCCATGTCCCTGTTGTGTTGGGGGCCCCAGAGCTGGATGCAGAACCACAGGTGGGGTCCCGCCAGAAGGGAGTACAGGGGGAAAATCCCTCAACCTGCTGGTCACTGTCCTTTTGATGCAGCCCAGCATATGGCTGGTTTCTGGGCTGCAAGCACACACTGCCAGCTTATGTCAAGCTTCTTGTCTACCAACACCCCCAAAACTTTGTTGGCAAGACTGCTCTCAATCCAGTCTCTGCCCAGCCTCTATTTGTGTTTGGGATTTCCCTGACCCAGGTGCAGGACCTTGCACTTGGCCTTGTTGAACTTCATGAGGTTTGCACAGACCCACCTCTCAAGCCTGTCAAGGTCCCTCTGGATAATATCCCTTCTTTCCAGTGTGTCTGTACTGCTTTCTGCCACCCATTGTGTCTGATAGAGGAACTAAGGTGATGTGTTTTCCAAAAGTAAATCAGACTTTTGTAGAAACATAGAGCACAAGTGAAAAAAAACATGTTAGAGAAATGTAATCCAATACTGCACAATATGGATAACAATCCTTTCTGTATTGCAGTTATATGGGTTGCATTTTAAAATACTGTCAACAGGTTACACATCACAGAAAAGCTGAGGTATAACACTAGGAAACTGTATTTAAAATAGTAATATTTAAATTTGCTGCTTCCACTTCTAGTAGAAAAATGGTAGTGGCCTAACTGTAACTGAAATACTCAAACGAGTATTTGAAGAAAAAAATATCAGACGATTGTTCTAAGTATTTACTTGATTTAGAGATAAGCTTTCACATTTGCAGAGTGTATCCAGACATTATGTCAGGAGGGACCAAATGTTATTACACATACAATGCCACACAATAAGTGAACCACATATCAAAGCTATCAAAGCAGGATCTGGATCAAGATTAAGCCAAACTAAAATGAGAAATAGAAAAGAGCACCATAATAATAAGCAATACTCATATGAGTTTTAAAGTTTACATGTCATTCCAGTTTTCACAGGGGTCAGTTTGCCTTTTTGTTTGTTTTCATATCTCTCTGTCCATATCTTTATATAATGTAGACATTTATGTATACATGGTAATATTCCACCAGTTGAAGTTTTGTTTCAGATGAGTATTCTATGCTCCCCTGTGTCCTTCCTGTAGTGCAATCTGTGATTTCATTATTCTATTAAATGTACTTTTTTTTTTTGAACATCTTTCAAAGAATTCTATAGAGAAAGCATTCATTAACAGAAGTGGTTCAAGTTCAGAAGAGACCTTTTTCAAACAGGTATACACAATGAAAACAGGAATCTGGAAGGTCTCCATGCTTCTGAAGACTACTGTATCTTTCCTACAAGAGATCCTCCCTAGGGCTCAAAATGTTAATGATGGACAACGGTTATTTTTATTTCTCTGGTCAGTTTGTATACATTAGGTGTTTTACAAGCATTTCTGTAACTCCCCTATTAAATTATTGTCAGCACACTACAAAATGCATACATTATTTCTAGAACCTGGATAGCTCAATAACCTCAAAGCTCTAACTTCATAGTTTCAAGATTGAATTAAAAAAAAAAAATAAAATCCCAGAATAGATCAAATCCTTCTTATCAAGTTATCATTGCCTTTGAGAGCTTACTCACTTGACAACAGTATTTTAAGTATGTCTGTGATACCAGCAGGAATTCTTTAAAGAATACTACTAACAGGATAATTTTTTCCCTCTGATTTTGTTCACCAAGTTCTTATTGAATACACCTGCCTGCTTTTCACAAATGCAAAGCTCGTCCTTGATACCCCCTCAAACAACAAATATACTCATATGTTCTTGGGTCTATGGCCAAATTTACATTTCATACTTCGTAGGAAGAGATATGACACAGCAGATATACCACCACACATAGGATCAGCAAAAATGTTCCTTTACATTCTTTATCAGTTCAGATTTTACCATGGCAGAAAACAATAAAATAAACAATAAAAGCAGTTACTGGAATCCAACTCACAGAAACCTGGCATTAACCAGAAATCTAGCCAAATACCTAGTACAATTATGATCATTACTGCTTAAGAGACACTCTTGGCAAATTTCCAGGGCGCCGAGAATAAAAGTTACTCTGCTGATTTCTATTTATTTATAGAGTCAAAAAATAAGTGCAGAAATCACAGAATCTGCAGTTATTTTTATTCTCCTCAGTAGGAGGATTCTGCTCTAGTAGGAGGTAAATTGCTCTCTGTTTACATTGTCTGTAATAAAAGCCTGCAGTTGAGCAGCCTTGTCCTTACGCTGCAATTACAAGGAAAAGTCTTTCATGGTCTGTGCTGTAAGACTCTGCAGGCCTCATTTGGCCTTTTGGCAACAATTTGATCGCCTTTCACTTTTGTAAAACCATGTATTACACAAATCTCCAGAAGGGTCAAAGTATGGGAAATCATTTAATAATCAATTCCATGCCCAGCCCTTGCAGATAATTAGTTTTTAGAGACCATTATCTATAAGCCTACAGACTAGGGGCTCTGACTCAGCAGAGTACTTACACAAATACTGAAATATTTATTCTGAATAAACTTAAGCAGGCAATAACTTTGGGCATAGGAAGAAGTGACTGACTGTTTACGAATGGCCTTAACCACCTATCTAAATACTATATTGTATCAAGACCTTGATTTGGACAGCATTTTATAGGAATTTATACAAAGTTGGAACACCAAGAACACAGTGACTTGCTTTTACAGCTGAGGTTGCACAGCAGCTATCAAATCGTGTATATTAACACCTTCATTAAAATAGAGAAAGGTATACGTTTCTTGTTGTTTGTGGGGTTTTTATTATTATTTTATTTTACTTTAACGTTTTAAGAGCTGTTTAAAGTATAAGAACTTAGTAGCGTTTCACTGCACTCTCTATTCCACTAGAGGTCAGCCTGCAACAGAACCCCAAGCAAACAGGAACTGCAGCACACTGGTAGCGCTGACATTATTTTCTTTCTCTATTTTATCTATTAGAAAGATTTCTTCAGAGCCATAACTTAGATCTCTCACTAAAATGGAGCAACAGGAAGATATAATGGTGCATTTCATTTATGAATGACCTATAATAAATTACTGTGAAGTATTCCAGGTGCCAAACGAGAGAATGCTTTGTCTGCACATGAACTATATTTCACATGCTTTAATTTGGCTGACACATAAAACTCATTTGACATTTTGCAGGTACTTCTTTGAAAGGATATTTGGTTCTTGTTGAGCGTTAAGGTATGGAGGTGGGGTAACTTGGGTAACAGAAGGTCATTTCCGAGTAGATTGTTGTCCAAGATCAGCTCTTCCAAGTAACTGAATGTTTTCAGTCCTTCTAGTGACCTGCAAACGACAGAGGCAACAGGAAAAATGATACTCCACTAAATCAGGGAGGCCATTATGAGCTGAAATAAATATTTTAACCTTCCCTTTCAGGAGTGGGAACAGTTTTGGTTTGGGCCTGTCAGAAGGGTGAATGACAAGCATTAGTGGCAAGGGGAGTGCTGGCACTGCAACACATCCTTCACATACTGGCAGGATGAAGGATGGGGGTCACTTAGTGAGTAGCCAGGATCCAAAACAAAAGGCTTCAGATATGGGGCTTGCAGGATGAATTTGTCAATGTCTTGTGCCTTGAGGCACCCAGCCTCGCCTGACCCTAACCTCCATTCCCAAGATAAATAACTCTGTCACAGTTCACCTTCATTCCCTGGACACAAATTTAAGTTGTCATCCATCATTTCTGCCAAGAAATATCATACCCCGCTAACAATAATAAATACAACTTCAAGTATCATTTCTTAGCAGTTACCTTACATGCAATAATAGGAAATGGAGAAAGAATTTTTTTATTTTCCTTTTTATTAACCACTTAATTTGCTTCTTGAGTCCCTGCAAACAAAATAAAATGTTCTCTACAAACAAAATGCAGAATTACTCCAGACAGAAAAGGCATTTGCTTTCTTTTCAGAACATACTGACAAGCCACAGGTCAAACTGCAGAGAGTGGATTTAAAAAGGAGCATTTCACAACATGGAAGTGCAGATGATGGCTTGTAAATAAACAAGGTCCTGGAGGTATTCATTCCTCTGATAGCAAAGTACAGGTTAAAAATAAAAAAAACACTTTGGTACCTTGTTAAGGCATCTATTCCAAACTCAATTCTTAATGCCTGCAAATTCTAACAGGAAAAAAAGAAAACAACCCCACACATTTATCAACTAAGACACATGGTATACTGAGCATACGCACAGACATGCATTCACAGCTCATTCACCTACCAGACACCTAAAGATATGCTGAGATTGCATGACTTGACAGTTGATCTACTATGCCTACCAGTGGGAAGATCATCACTGTATCTCCTGGCTGTTTCATAAAATGTGATGAATAAGGGAGATGCAGTCTATACTATTTATTCAGATTCGAATGACATTTATACAGGGGTGATCCCCCCCATTTCGGCAAAGATCAAAATCCAACCAAAGTCTCTGTTAGAGAGTCCTACAGGCACTCTTACTGGAGAAAAATACAAATATTATAGAAAGTATATGGTTTTCAAATTAGAGAATTTAACATTCATCTGCCCAACAAAAAACAAGATGCTGCTTTTGTAGATACAACTTACTGACTACTTATAAATCACAGTTACAGGGGTCAAACAACCAAAAGTAATCAAGTACATGACCTTTACACTGGGTACTGTACACTAAACTATGAATATTCAAGTAACATTTGCACAACACTGAAACAGTGTATTTCAGTCCAAGCTTCAAAGCACTCCCGGTCTATTGACCTGGCATTCTGAAAGGGAGGTACAACTGTTACTAATGCCATTTTGACGCTGGGCAGCCAGACCTGAAGAAAATTTGCCATGCCTACACCCTATGCCATATCTATATAATTACAATGAATTGACACTGCAATTTCTGAAGCTGAAAGAACAAAAGAGTCAATTTCAAACATTATACTGAAACAGCCACCACAGTAACAGTCACACTTTTTGCATTTGCCTTTAACAAGCTGTTTTATAAGACCTCGGTTCAACCTATATAAACTGTACATGGTTAAGAGCTGTGTAGAGCACTGCATGAAGCTATTTCAGCAAAGGGTCACAACTGACATGGTTTTGCCAAAGTCAAGATCAGAAAAGAGATCAGCTAACATTTCAGACAGTGCTTTCCCCTAAGTACCTTTAAAAGGCAAAATAACCCAGAGGAAGTAGCAGTGAGTTTATCAAGCTGTTATGAGTTTTCACTTCAGTTTATTTTACAAACCTAGTTTAGCAAATTCCCCTTAAATACTCTTTTATTATATAAATAGTGGATTATTTCCAAACCTCACATTTCAATGCAAGACTTTGACTTTGCCAAAGGAGTTCAGAGAAGGCCACCTCCTTGTCAACACCACAGAGCCTTATGGGATGTTAATAGGTCCTTTGTGAAAAAACATTGCTTGGGCTCTGGTCAGTGTCAGCATCAAAATACACATTGTTCCTGAGTTATGTTATGCAAATATAATACTCTTATCATGAGAATCTGCAAATGGTTGGCAACTGGCAAGGAGAAGAAAGCACACATCCAAAACTGCTGCAGGGGAGGCATAAAACAAAATGACAAGCCATGAAGTGGGACAAAAGGCCTTGGAACACTAGAGGGAGTTGCCTATTGAAACAGCCTTCCTTTCACAAGCCTGGGCTGAACACAAGAGTACTAATTTTATAGATAGGCAGAGAAAATTGTGCGCAAATCTCCTTACACCTGTCTGGTTTTGATAATTTTTGCCATGTAATGTTATTAGCTGCTCACTTAAAAAGGAGCCCTGTTACACAGGGGGTTGCTTATTAATTGTTGTTTTCATGTCATCAGAGTAGTGTGCACTTGGTGATTTAATCACATAAATTCAGAGTCCTGGGAAATGGGAGGGGCTGCCACCGTACAGAGAGAGGGTGTAGCCATTAACGTAATTTTACATCCATATGTTATTTTGTTATTCACAGAATTCTCATTTTTTTCATCTTAGACAAAAGAAAAAAAAACTAGCACCAAAACAAAATTACTAAGACTGTTGGTAAAGAAACAAAAAGGGAAAAAATGCATTTGCTATCATTCCGTGACACTAGCTACTAAATTCAAGCCAACGATTTCTACCATAATAATATATAAGGAAATATTAGCCAGCAGCTGTACTTCACAATTTAAAAGTTAAGTGCAATGCACACAATAGGTTTTGTGGTACAAACTTCAGCAAATCCCACAACTTCTATGTGCCTCAATTTCCCATCTGCAGATGGGGGATTAGAAAGGATTGCAATCATGAGCTAGTACATAGAAAGCATTTTTGAGAAGCCAAGGTAGAAATCAGTACAAAATAATGGCATTTTTATTTTTAATGAGGGTGAGTTATATTAATGCACTCCATGTATTTCCATTACAAAAAAGGAGTACATATACATACACAGCAGAACAAGAAGCACACAAACACGCTCAGAGACAAGTATAAAGAGGGAAATTCCCCAAGAAAAATAACGAGTTTAAAACTGTTTTCTGTGAACTGTTTTCTCATAGTTCACAGAAGAAAAAAATGTCTCCTCGTATTGGTATATTAAAACAAACACACAATGTTACCATCATAGTACAACCAGCACTGAAGGGGCAGTGGCAAGTAGCTGTTTTCCCAAGTTTCAAAAGGCTAATAAACATGACTAAGGTGTACTGCAGGTTGCTTTTCCCTGCTCTAATGACATGAAAGCTGCCCATTATCTCACCCACAGGTACCATCTCAGTTACCTCATTGCAGGCCTCACACTCTGCTCCCAGAGGAGAACAAGTGCTGCCAAGAGATTTCCATCGCAATTTCCAAAGTCACATCAAACCGACAAAACATCACAACGTATTCAGAGCCGCCTCATTCAAACAGAAAAAACTTTTACGTTTCCACTGTAATTAACCCTATCCTCGTTAAGATAATTATGATCAAGCTCCCTGTCACAGCTAATATCACAGCACCATTGCCTATGGCTCATGCTTTGCCCTCATTAGCTTACAAAAACAGTGTTAAACAGGAAACTGACTCCCCTCTGCAAAAAGACTTAAGATGTTCTGTAAGCAGACAGTAAATAATCCTTTTGAATATGAAGGTTTCAGAAATGTCATTTTGTCCAAGTCCTTCGGCTAATCAGTGTGATTTCTTCCAGCTTTCTCTTCCATAATTCATTCATGGTTTGTAACAAAGTTTTAATCATAAAGGAATGTCATGGCAGAGATTTTTTTCTCTACGTGTATGCATGGCAATTGTCAGCTACACTATTTCATATGGTCCCTGTGGCCTGACGGGGATTTAGTTACAATGAAAGTAAAGCACAGCTCTTCATTTTGGTAATATTTGACAATGAAAACACATTTTATAAATGAAAAAAAGCAGAAGCCTCTCAAGTAATGGACAAACCTCAGTACTCTGCAACTGTCCTTGGGAAGAACAAGCTGTTCAGAAGTATATGCTGAAAAAGAAATGTTCTTCACATTTTACCCCACCCCTCCTTTAATATGACAGCTGCCTCGTATCTAATGACTTTTTCCTCCTGTTTAACAGGAAAAGAGAGAGTAGTTAACAATATGTAAATGAGAGAGTTTGGCTTTAGCCTTGAAATTGATTTGCACTCTGTTGACAAGAGATAGCCATTACCAGAAGTTAAAGACAGAGCTGTTACAAAACAAGAGCTTTTTAAAATACCTTTTTTCTTGTATTTTATGTTTTAACAGTTTACAGGAGAGCAGAATCAACACGAGAACCCCAGTACTAGATAATTTCAGTATTTAAAGCATGGAAACTAATTTCTATTTCTCCAGCACCTGCCAGCCAAGTAGCACAAAGCATTTTGTTGTTTTTTTTTTTTAAATTAATGAATTACTCTTCAAAAACCTGCTGAGCTTAAAATTTCATTTTGCAGTAAAACAGAAAGAGGTTAAGTGACTACCAAAAGGTGACCTCCAGCAATTTTCTGAGACAAGAAATAAAACCCAGAGCTTCTGACTTCTAGTCCTTTGACTTAACCTCACCAAAACAAAACCAAGAGCAATAGATAAATGCTATATATATATATATATATATATATATATATATATATATATATATAAAAGCATAAGACAGACACATGTGTAAGTTTAGATTTTGCAGAATTCCCTGGCAATGCAAAACATTATTTCGGGTTTACTTGCTTTGATTCCTGTTCAATTTTAAATTCTATTGAATCTGAAATATAGCATACAGATAAGGAGAAAAATCCAAGCCAGTTCCAAGTCTGTTCTGCTGGTGGAAGGTGTTTGGTGAATCTTCTGTGCAA